ATGTGTATTTTGATCACTGTAGGCAGTGATCGACTGGCAGGGAAGGGGTTAATTTTTATTTGGACTGGCTAAAGGGGGGTGTTTTTTTATTTATTTTTTACTTAAATGTTATTAAAACTTTTTTAACTTAATTTTGAACTTTTTAAAGCTTATTTTAAAACTTTTTTTAACGTTAACCCCTAGTTAGCCTAACACCAAATCCCCCAATTCCCCACTAACTTCCACCCACCCAGCTAACTACATTTATAATTTTAAAATACTTAAATTAATTAATAAAATAAATTTAACCTCTAAGGGTTAAAAAAAAAGAATTAACCCTCAGGGGTTAAAAAAAATAAATCAGATCATAGTAAAATGTAATCCCTGCCAATTGATCACTGTAGACAGTGATCAATTGGCAGGGAAGGGGTAATTTTTTTATTAAAATGGGTAAAGGGGGGTGGGATTTTAAATTAACTTTATTTTTTTTTCTAACAGGGACAAGATCAGTGATGATCCGTCTCCCTGCACTTCACAGTGAACCTGGAAGTGCAGGGAGGTGAGTATACTGAGCACATGTGCTCGCTCTGATAGGCTGTCAGAGCGAGCACATGTGCTGGGGCAGCACTATCGGATGAGACAATGAGACAGCCACTAGAGGCTGAATTAACCCTCAGTGAAACATATCAGTTTCTCTGAAACTGCTATGTTTTCAGCTACAGGGCTAAAACTAGAGGGACCTGGCACCCAGACCACTTCATTGAGCTGACGTGATCTGGGTGTCTGTAGTGGTCCTTTAAGTGTGTGCATCTGCATGCACTGGCGTACATACCGTGGTCACAGGGGTCGCAGCCCTGCAACCCCTGCAACCAGGTGCCAGCCACCATGTGTTGCGGCCCCGGCCCGCGTGGGGGGGCCCACGGATTAATTTTCACACCGGGGCCCCATGGGTCATGTGTATGCCACTGCACACGTGTGTGTGTGCATATGTATATATGTGTGTGTATATATATATTATATATTTATATATATAAATTGCAAAAGAAAAACATTTTTTTTAAAATTAATAAAACTGCTAACTTTGGCCAGCATTTGTGACTAGGTGGCTACTACAAAAGACTGGACATACCCTATTTTGAATACCCTGGCTTGTCTACATTTGAAAATGGAATGCTCTGATGAGGTTATTTCACATACCTGGGCTACCAGATGGTCTCAAAAGGCAACACAGACCCAGGAAACCAATCTGGCAAACTGAATTGGGCAAGCCCTATATAGACCCTATAACTTTCAAAAACACCATAAAACCTGCACAAAAGGGGTGTTTGCTATACTCGGGAGACTTCGCTGAACACAAATATGAGTGTTATAAATCAGTAAAACTTATCATGATGATCATAGGCGTGCGCAGCCTATTGCACCCTAAAACACAAGCATAGACGCCGCGTGTATATGTATGTGTATGTATATATATATATATATTTATATACACACACATATACATACATACATACACTGCTGTATGTGTGAGTGTGTGTGTGTGAGGATGCTGTGTGTGTGTGTAAGGGTGCTGTGTGTGTGAGCGTGCTGTCTGTGTGTGTAAGGGTGCTGTGTCTATGTATGAGAGAGTGCTGGTAGTGTGCAGTGAGGGTGCTGTGTGTGTGTAAAGGTAATGTGTGTGTGTGATAGTCTACTTTTAAAAAATATATGATTTGATGGGGGTAAATTACATTGGCCAGCTTCAAAAATGTCCCAAATAGAACATGGATGCATGATGACCATCTTTGAAAATTCCAAGTTGGAAAACTGGAATGCACACCCTCCAAATAGGGTATTTTAGCCCCCAGAGAACCCGTCAAACCTATACATGGGGGGGGTATCACTGTACTCAGGAGATGTTGCTTAACACATATTGGGGTGATATTTGGCAGTAACCCTTAAAGTTCTCTGTACATGTATTCTTAAATTGCAATGTGTGTCAAAAAAATCACCAATTTTTTTTTTTTTTTAATTCGGCATAGATTGGTGGTAAAATGGTTGCATGAAAAGACCTTAATACCTTGGGTTGTCTTCTTTTAAAAAATATATACATGTGAAGGGTTATTCAGGGATTCCTGACAGATATCAGTGTTACAATGTAACGTGTTAATTTTGAAAAAAAGTGGTTTGGAAATAGCAAAGTGCTACTTGTACTTATTGCCCTATAACCTTCCACACAAAAAAAAGAACATGTTAACATTGGGTATTTCTAAACTCAGGACAAAATTTAGAAACTATTTAGCACAAGTGATTTTTTGGCGGTTGTAGATGCATAACAGATTTTGGGGGGTCAAAGTTCAAAAAAGTGTGTTTTTTAAAAATTATTTCATCATATTTTATAATTTTGTTTATAGTAAATTATATGATATGATGCAAATAATGGTATCTTTAGAAAGACCAATTTATGGCGAGAAAAACAGTATATAATATGTGTGGGTACAGTAAATGAGTAAGAGGAAAATTAGAGCTAAACACAAACACCACAGAAATGTAAAAAGAGCCCTCGTAAGAAAATTGAAAAACCGTCTGGTTACTAACAGGTTAATACTTTCTGAATGATGTAGAATATTGCATGTTCTATTCACACATTAGCTATGGGTGCCTGAATGGAGCATATATAAGATATGAAATCAATAAGTCACATAGTTATCTTTGTCGGAGAACTCTGGAATATGGTTCTGAACCAATAGGAACCATATGAATGTTTTTCTAGAGGTAGGTTTAAAACTTCTCCAATTTTCTGGAAAAAGACTATGTCTATCTCTCCCTCAAGTCCAGCACTTAGCTTCAGCTGTTGCATATCCATCATCCTGTAACATCCTTTGTTATTTTACTATATATCAGTAATTATTAGCAGAATAAACCTGTATAAAATGTACATCTGATGCATTTTGATTTTTGACACAGAGAAGATGTATTATGCACTGATCAACCGCAACATTAAAACCACTACCAAGTTAAGTGAATAACTTTGATTAAATAATTTCATACCAATAGGTGGAGTATAATAGGCAGCATGGGATCAGTCAGTTCTTGACTTCCACGCATTGGAAGCAGGAAAAATGGGCAAACTAAAAGATCTGAGTGACTATGACAAGATGCTGCATAGGGGCTGCAAGGCCACATGAAAGTCAGAGTGTCCATGATGACTGCTGTCTGCTGCCGAAAGCGCCTTCAAAGGGGATGTGAGCATCAGAATGGGCCTTGGAGCAATGAAAGAAGGTTTCAGATCAGGTGATTGGCCGGGTGCATATGTGTTGTTAACCTGAGGAAGATATCGCAGCAGGATGCACTATGGGAAAAAAGTAGGACAGCAGAAACAATGCTGTGCTCTTTGCAATGTTCTTCTGGGAAAACATTAGGTTCTGGCCTTCATGTGGATGTTACTTTGACAAGTATAAACCTGCCTACAGAAAGCTGCAGGCCATGTACACCCTGTCCTGGCAATGGTGTTCCGTGATGGCAGTGGTTACTTTCAGCAGGGTAATGCACTCTGTCACATTGCAAATATTGTTTAGGAATGGTTTGAGGAACTTGAAAAAGAGTTCAAGGTGTGGCTTTGGCATCCAAATTCCCCAGACCTCAATATCATTGTGGATTTAAAAGACGTGCTGAAACAACAAATCCAATTTATGGAGGCTCCAGGTTTAGTAGTCTGCTAGTAGTCTCTTAGTGCCAGATACCATAGGACACATTCAGAGGTCTTTTGGACCTCTGTTTTGGCAGCACAAGGGGGACCTACACAATATCAGGCAAGTGACTTTAATGTTGTGGCTGATCAGTGTATGTATAGTAGCTGAGCATCAATTGTTGCCCAGTCACTAGTTGTTTTTTGAGTAAGGAGCCACTGGCTCCTATGCCACTATTTGTTTTAGGGTGGGAGTGGGAGGCATGGAGGAGTTATGAAAGTTTTCAATACCTCCCCAATGCCCCGCTTGCCATTCTATGCCCAAATACAATGGCGGAATGACCCGATGAGCCGCATAAATTCGGTTATTTTTAAATTCAGTCAATGATTCAGTGGCATTTAGATTCTAAGTGACCAAAAAAAAAAACAACAATTTTTTTTTCTCCATTTTTCCATTCTTCCAAACACAAATGGAGATGTCTATTGAATGCTAAACACATCCCAAACACAATGTAAATTTCTGGAAAAACTACTATGGATAAACCTACCATGTAGAAATCTAAATAATACAATTTTACAATGTACAAAAATCTAGCAATACAAATGTATTGTTGATTTATTTGTTGATAAAAGGTCCACTATACATGTTAATATTAACTGCTAAAGAAACCATTTTGTGCCAGGAACCTAAAAAAATATCCAACAAGTGGCTAATTTATTTTTACAGCATATATTGTTTTTCTTTTTTTAAAGTACTTTAAAATATTTTTGATAATTTTTCCAAACACACATGCTCATGTCTATTGTATACTAAACAAATCCTAAACACAATGTAAATTTAAAGAAATATTATTCAGATGAACCAACAAACCTACCATTCACAAATCTAAATAATATAATTTTACACAGTACAAAGGCCTTCTAATACAATTGTATTGTTAGTTCATATGTTGATAATACTCAAAAACTATTTTAGTGCAAGGAAGCTGAAAAATATACAACACATATAAAACTGAAAATGAATGGTTAATTGATATTCACACCAAATATTGTTTTTCTTTTGCTACCTTAAAATGCTGTGTTTTGTGTAAGTATGTAAAATAATGACATGCTATTACAACAGATCTGGTCACACTATTGCAGAGCTCTCTAGGAAGAGCCTTGAAATGCAGGTACCAGCAAGTATACAAACAGCAGTCACATATACGTACAGAGCTGTGTCACACAATAAAGGATACAATAACTATACATTCTACTTAGTGGCAGAAAGAAAACAGCTCAGCATTGTTTTCAATGAATGTAAGCATCAGCAAGAAACATGGTATATAAAGGCCCCTCATCATGTGTAACCACACAGCTTGCTTGAGCAGATCAACTCAACACTGAAAATGGGAAAGGTAAGGTTATCTACTGAATTAAATATTTAATTGTTACTGCAGTAGATAAACAATTCATAGCCAAGATATTTCAGATATGAATCATTTGTTATTTAAAAAAAATAAAAATTGATTTGTATTTTATTGATTTACAAAACAAGGGAGATTGGTACAAAAAGAAGTAAGGGGAGAGTTGGGATGGGGAAGCAAGTAAATCCAGTTTGACATTTGTACAGTTTCACATAATCATCCTAGTTGTGCAGCATTACTATTATTTCAACATTAGGTTGGCAACACATCAGCTACATGACCTTTGAGGCAACAATTCCGTCCACCTGAAACCTTTACGGAGACAGAACTGGGAAACTGGGCTAAGTAGGTCGTCCTGGTCGATTTGAATCAACCAACAAAATAGGTTGATCCTGTACTTTGCAGTCAGTACCTTATTGTTAGAGGGTTATAAGATTGAACGGTGCCAACACTTAATAGGCTCCTCAATACAGTCTTAATAGCATGCATTTAGGGGTGAGGGGGTACAGAAATGAAAATTGAAGAGGAGGGGAAAAAAATTTAAACCTTAAACCTTGTACTATTCTTTATTCACATTGTTTATACACTGCGTTTATACACTGCGTTTATACACTGGGCTCGGCATCCTTTGCTTGGTTCGCCCTTCTTACACCTGGTGTGTAAGGGAGCTTCTGAGTATGTGGGCCAGCCATTTGGGTCTCAGCCTTGGTGTCATGCTAGGGCTACAGGGTAGACTTGTGGGGTGCGAACGGGATTGTCCCGCAATTGTGGTGTTGGCGTTGATTGTATATAATAGGCAGACCACATTTCCCATGTTGGTTGAAATATTTGTATCTGGGCATGTGAAAGTAGAGACATGCATTCATATGTGACATATTGGTGGAGTTTGTACAACAAATGTCATTTGTTAGGGCATGATGCCTGTTTCCAGTTAATCGCTATTAAATTTCTAGCATTAAGCATGGTTAGCGCTGCCAGTTGTCTATGTGCTTTAGTGAGGTTGTGAGGGAACAGGAGAAACAAACAAGTGGTTGGGTCAAGCTGTATACCCATGACGTTCAGGTTCCTGAGAACCTCCTTCACATCTTCCCACAATGGTCTAATAATGGGGCAGTCCCACCATATGTGTAAAATTGCTCCCTCCGTCCTCCCACACCTCCAGCAGAACTCTGGTATATTAGAGTAGAATTTGTGGAGCTTGCTAGGGGTTAGGTACCACCGGTAGACCAATTTCCTATGTGCTTCTACTTGGGAGTAGCAGTTAGTGATACCTGTGAGTGCATTGATTGAAAGCAACCAATCAGACCTCGTGGGGAAGCGTGTATATTCTTTATGACATTGCTCCTCAAAGGGGAAAGGTTTCTCTGTGAGGGTGTTCAGTAGTCTGATAACACAGAGACAAAGATTTAGGCTTTGAGTGTTTGCCAGCATCTTGCATATATCGGGTCAATGATTTGAGGCTCGGTGTGAGCCATTTCTGTCATTAATACGTGTGTTGTGAGAATACTTTTGAGTTGTAAGTATTGGAAGACTGATTAGTTGGGTAGACCGTATTTTTGTTGGAGTACTGGAAAGGGTAAAATTTGATGATGGTTGCATAAATCCCCTATGGAACAGATGCTCTTTTTGTGCCAAGATGTGAACCCTAAACATGGGGAAAGTAAGGTCAGGGCTGTCAGTGGTGTAAGAAGGTGAAACTTCCTATGAAGTGCTTCATTTAGTCTTAATGAGTCCCACTGTTGGACTTTGAGGCTGGTTGTCAGGAGCAACTTGACTAAGGCCTGGTGAAGCGCTTTAGGTATCCAGGGAACCACCCGGGATCTGCTCGTTTTCCATGTCAACCCATTGGAAGGTTCCTTTTTTGGAACAGAGTTTAATTGCAGCCTCTAAAAAGGAGGTTTTGTAGTATGACATTAAGTCTGGAAAATCCACTCCTCCCTGGTAGGTACGCCTTTGGAGTAAGACTAGTGAAAGGCGGGGTTTGCGTGTTTTCCACAGGATAGATGTGAGGATAGATTGGAGATGCTTATAGAAGGTGTAATGTGTATGGGTATCATCCTAATTTTGTCGAGGATTTGGGAGAATTACCATCTTTATCGCATTGAGTCTGCCATTGACTGTTCTCCATTGTTGCACGTGTGATTTGCACATATGTATCAACAGTTTAAAATTGAGGTCAAATAGTCCCAGGAGATGAACCTAACTTTATTCCTAGGTATGTCTGTCGTTCTCCAGTCAAAGTTGTACGTTTGTCTCAGTTGTTGCTTAAGTGGCGTAGGGAGGTTTAGAGGCAGAGCTTGGGTTTTACTGTGGTTAAGCTTATAGTATGCAATGTTTCCATACTGTTGCAGAAGTTGTAGCAACGCCGACACAGAGACGCCTCGATTCTTCAGTGAGAGCAAGATATCATCTGCAAACATGGAGAGGCAAAACTGTTGGTCTCCCATAGGTATGCTGTGGATAGTAGTGTCTGATCTTATCCAGCAACAGGATGAAGAGTATTGGTAACAGGGGGCACCTTTGCCTATTGCCATTTGTGATATGGAATGGCGTGGAGAGGAATCCAGAGTTAGAAACCCGAGTTTTTGGATTATTGTAGAGGGCCATGATACCTGATATGAATGTTTGTGGAAAGTCAAATGCAACCACTACTTGTGTCATGTAGTGCCAGTTGAGTCTGTCAAAGACGAGGAGGAGGCCCTGTGTCTGTATGTGTCATGTGCATGTGCGAGAGAATGTTGAGAATTTTTCTGCTGTTGTCAGAGCCTTGTCTCCCTTTAATGAACCCTGATTGATCGTTATAAATCAGTGTTGGTAGAAGGGTGGAGAGTCGATTGCCTAGAAGTTTGGAATACATTTTAATGTCACTGTTCAGTAAGGATATCGGCCTGAAGTTTTGGCATTGCATTGGGGGTTTGCCCGGTTTGGGCAGAGTAGAAATGTGTGCTATAAGCATGTTGCTCGGAAGTTTTCCTTGCAAGTAGCAGGTATTACAAAGTAATGTGAGGGCAGGTAGCAGGGTGAGTGCAAATGGTTGATAATAGAGGTTGGTGAAGCCGTCCGGGACCGGAGCTTTGGTTGTGGGTAGATCCCGTATGGCCTTTTCTATTTCCAGTTAGGTAATTGGTGAGGTGAGGGTCTCTATGTCTGTTGGGGATGTAGAGGGTAGGTCCACCATGTCTAGAAAGTCTTGAATAAGTTGTGAAGATGGTGGAACTGAGCTGGGTCGTTTGAGATTATAAAGAGAGCTGTAATAGGATGCAAATTTGTTTACAATATCTTGTGGGTTTAGTAGTTTGCCTTTTTCTTTAGATTGTGTGTATGCTATTTTTGATTTATGAGATCTAGCCTTTAATTGTGATGCTAGTAAGGCCCCTGCTTTGTTGCCCTGTGAGAAAAAGTTATGTTTATATTTATGTAATAATAAGGTGTTTTTTCCATTGCTAAGGTTTTAAGTTTGTTTTGTAGTTGCAAGAGTTTACCTTGTGTCTCTTTGGATGGATTGTGTTTATTTTTGTGTGTCAAGTCCGTGATGTCTCGGATGAGTGAGATGTTTGTTTGTATCCATTGTTTATTATGGTAACTACCATGCTTGATAAAGGTTCCCCTTATGACTGATTTGTGAGCCTGCCTAACTGTTTTGATGGATGTGTCTAATAGGTTATTATTTGCAAAATAAGAAGTTAGGTCCTTTTTTATGGTAGATCATATTTTGAGGTCTTTAAGTAAGGAATTGTTCTGTCTCCAAGTGCCCGTTCCTGAGGACAGGTATTGTTCCCGATTGGTCAGAATGATAGGGGCGTGGTCAGACCACATAATAAGTCCTATGGTGGTGTCCTGTATTTTTTTGTAGTAGGCGGGATGGTGTGAGGAATCTATCTATTCTAGTGTAGGTGTTGTGCACTGTTGAGTGGAAAGTACGGTCTATTTCTGCGGGATATAGTATTCTCCATGGGTCGACAAAGTCATGGTGAAAGATGGTGGAAGACAATTTGTCTGCTAGGTACATTTGCTTTTTAGCCGTCGGAGTATGAACTTTGTGTTTGGAGGATGAGGCCATGGATGTATCTAGCAAGAAGTTATTACGTCCTCCCATTATCACCGTTCCAAAATTATGTAAGAAAATTAGGCGAAATATTTTTTATCAGAGAACTTAGGTTGATTGTCATTTGGGCTATATACATTGACCAGGGTATATGGTGCATTATTAATGTAACATTGAATCAATAAGTATCTGCCTTTTTTATCCCCTACTTTTTTGACTAGTGAGAAAGAGACATCCTTATGAATCAGCATGGAGACACATAGTTTTTTAGATTGGAAACATGAATGAAAATTGTGCCAGAATAGTGTAGAGCAGAACTTGGGTCGATGACCCCATTTCTTAAAAAAAAGCCACCTGTGCTTTATTAATTTTAACTTCCAGAAGGGCAAACCTTCTCTTATTTTGTGAATTCAGGCCTTTGGTATTTAATAATATAACCTTGACAGCCATTAAGGATGTTTTAATTGAGTTGTTGTGTCTATTTTCACTGTTGCAACTGGTTTGCTTCAGTGCATTTATGACCTTGGCATGAACGCGTGTTGTACATGTGAAAGACCATATGTGGCAATTATTCCCTGGTATAGGGAAGGAAACTAGTGAGGGGGGGAGGGAGGAGGCCTCATGGTAATCATCAAATCGTATTCTATCTCTCTGGCTTTCCTGAGCTAGCCTCAATATCTTTGGTCGGGTGCTGGGTGTTGTTGGTACAAGCTTGCAAAATCACGTAAGGGCTAGTGGGATTACAAGTCACCCATGGGCTAGTGGGATTAGTGTCAGTGTGATACATATACATTAGTTTTTTGTGTGTACCCAATGGACGAGTACATAAATATGGCAGTGAAATCATAGGTAAAAGGTGTTGAACATAAAAAAAGTAACATAACTATATACAAATAACTGTCAGGTGTTGTAGAGGTCATACAGAGGGTACGATAACGGCCAAAATTATTTTCTACCTGCTTTAGAACTACCTAATCCATCAGAGATATCGCCTGCTCCTTCTACAACTGAAAAAAATATTTCACTGGCTGTCAGTGTTACTAATACCACCATGACCAATACCACCAACATCACAATTATTACCAACATCAACATTTCAATTAATCAACTGAAATGTTGATGCCTAGTGGGGATGGGTGTAGATGTTATGATAATGCGATGTGTTAAGGAAAGGCACAGAAATTAAACATATTTAGCATTAAATATAGGAACTTAAAATAATAACATCAAATCAAAAATAGAATGTAGGCCATTGGCTGTCAACTGTGAGATGCAAAACATGTGTGTTGAGCATAAGGTGCTCAATGTGAGAGATTAGGCTCATGCCATGCAGCGTGGTGTCGCTTAGCTGTAGTAGTGGTATGCCAGTCCTTAGTAATCTTTGCTGTGGATTGTTGTGCAAGTTTGGAGGTAGCGTTGTGAGTCTGCACTGTTGTGGGGATGTTCCATTCACAAAGCAGCTTGCGTCCATCTTCCACTGTGGTGATATGGCGTTCTGTGCCGTTTCGCCTGATCATTAACCATGCTGGGAAGCCCCATCTATATATGATATTGCCATCTCTTAGGGCTGATGTTAAAGGTGACAGGGCCTTCCACTTTAGGAGTGTGGTGGCAGATAGCTTGGTATAGATCTTGATCTCTGAGAATTTATCTGGTAAGGTTTGAAGAAGCCTGGTGGCTCACATTACTTTTTCTTTGGAATTATAGAAATATGAGAAGCAGTAAACAATCTATATATTTCCAGGAAATATTCTTCTAGACACTTTGAATTCAGCTGTTGAGGGAGACAGACCAGCAGTGATTGTGCACCAATGTATGGAATGGTGGTATCAGTTGTGTGCCTGGTGATGATGATATTGCTCTTTCACCTAGCACTACATACATAACACTTTTACTTATGGCCCAGATGCTACTTAACTTAAGTCAGACAGCAGCCTACTATTTTCTTTGACAGCTGGTTTGCACTCTCCTGCTGTATCTTATACACCTTGTCAAAATTGTTTTCAACCTGCTTTAGCTCTACCTAATCCATCAGAGACATCACCTGCTCCTTCTACAACTGAAAATAATATCTCACCTGCTGTCAATGTTACTACTACCATCATGACCAATACCACCAGCATCACAATTATTACCATCATCAACATTTCAATTAATCAACTGGTGCTAGTGTACAGGCTAATGTTGTGACAGCTTTCACTGCTCTGATGCAAATTCAGCTGCTTCTTCAGCAAACGCAAGGCCTTGATTAACAAAGCCTTCCCACACATTCAGTATGTGTGACCAGTCCAGTGACAGCTCTTAAATGTGTAAAAAAGAATGCCCTATTGCCAGCCTCTCCCAACTATCTCTGCAGTGGTAGCAGGGAAGCTTCAGTCAGGCAGAGTAAAACCACTACAGGAGGTATTTTAAAGAGACACTATAGTCATCAGAACAAGTACCGCTTACTCTAGTGGTTCAGATGTCTATAGCCTGTCCCTGCAGGCTTTTTAATGTAAAAACTGCCTTTTCAGAGAATTACTGTCTAGTAACACTTTTAGGGACACATCTGCAACCGTACCCTACTCGGCACTGGAATAAAAGTAGGTTTATTCCTTTTTAATGGGCCAAGGGAGGGTCAGGACCTAAACCGTAATTTAAAAACTATAGTGTCAGGAATACATGTTCGTATTTCTGACGCTATAGTGTCCTTTAAATTTTTTTTTTTTGTTTATGACTTCTTTTAAGATGCTTTTTTTTTTTAAATGCATTACATTTTGCACATTAAATTATCTTTCTAATTATGTATGAATATATTTTTATTTTATTTTTCTAAGAAATTATATGTCATCAAACCTCAGAAATACAAGAATTCCAAAAGGCTTCCACAATTTGACCACTAATTTATATTAATATTGTAATTTTGTCTGCTCAGAAATAGCATTGCAAAAATGGTTGATATTGCGTGGTCAGTAAACTAATCAATATTGTACCCATTTTGCATTGCTGTACACTAGTATGTGCCTTTTTCCAATATTTTGGCATGCCCAAATGTGTTTTTCTAATCTTATTCCACTGATAATATGCGGCCAAGCCCAACCACAGCATAAGCAAGCATGGGTCGAACAATCTTTAAAATGTCATTTCCCCCCCCCCTGAATCGAAGAATCATGCCATGCACAAGTCCAATGCCAACTTAAATAATTAAAAATCAAACTAGACACTGTAATACAAAAGTACATTATCAGTATATCATTGTCAATTTGAAAAAAAAACATATGAAACAAAACCAAATATTCAAACTTACTCTATGTTTCCTATAACAGGTTATTTTCTATGAAGATCGCAACTTTCAGGGCCACCATTACGAATGCAGCTCTGAGTGCTCAGATTTGACCAAATATTTTCAGCGTTGCAATTCTATCCGAGTGGAAAATGGAAACTGGATCCTGTATGAGAACCCTAACCATAGAGGACACCAGTATTACCTTAGGAGGGGAGAATATCCTGATTTCAATCAATGGATGGGGTTCAATGACTCTATCAGATCATGTCGTATTATCCCACAGGTATATACATTTTATAAAAATCTGCTTTAAATCTAAACCTCTTTGATAAAATATGCATTCTTACATAAATAAATAAGGTATGCGCAGATAATGAAATATACACTTCAAAATGCATTTTATTCTGCAAATCATATATATTAAAGTTGGTAAGTATGACTTTCTCTTTAGAATAATATTATTACATATGTAAAATAATATATCCTAAATCACTGTAAAGTCTGTATTAAACCAGAAAAAAAACACATGACATAGCAAGACGGTCACAGGATTATTCGCTAAACACCGAATTTAGCCTAGATGGTGAAAATTACTTAAATCCATCCAGAATGACAATTTTCACATTTATAAAATATGTGTCCAGTAGAGCTGAGCGGACACCTGGATGTTCGGGTCTGGCGGGTACGGCCGAAGTTTGAAAAAAAGACCGGGTTCGGGCTCGAACTTGACCCCGAACCCGAACCCCATTGAAGTCAGTGGAGATTCGAACTTTTGGGCACAAAAATGGCTCTAAAAAACTCATGGAAAGGGCTAGAGGGCTGCAAAAGGAAGTAAAATGGGGGTAAGAGTAGGATAAGTGCCCTGCAAACAAATGTGGATAGGCAAATCACTTAAAAATAACATAAAATAAGCAGCCGCTTAGTAGATAACTTCCTAATTCCCACGGTATTAAGGAGCTATCTAACAAAAGGCTGAAAGACCTTAATAAAGATTACTTAGTATTAGTAAATTCAGCCCCTACTCGCTATACCGTGAGTAGGGGTGTGATTGATAAAAAAAACTAAAAAAAACCTATTGCCCCCAACCCTGTGCGATGGACTGTCCTCCCCCCGGCCCCGACCCCTGAACACCGGATGGTGGCCCTAAATAAAAATTTTGGGGGGTACCTACTGTCCTCCCCCCTGGCCCCCACCCCTGCGTGGCGGGTGGGGGCCCTAAATAACAAGGGGGGGACCTAATGTCCTCCCCCGGCCCCCACCCCTGAGCAATGGGTGGGGGCCATAAATAAAAATTGGGGGGGACCTAATGTCCTCCCCCTGGAACCCACCCCTGAGCGGTGGGTGGGGGCCATAAATAAGAACCTACTGTCCTCCCCCCGGCCCCCACCCCTGAGCAGTGGGTGGGGGCCATAAATAAAAATTGAGGGGGGACCTAGTGTCCTCCCCCCAGGCCCCCACCCCTGAGTGGTGGGTGGGGCCATAAATAAGAATTTGGGGGGACACCTAATGTCCTCCCCCCTGGCCCCCACCCCTGAGCGGTGGGTGAGGACCATAAATAAAAATTTCCCCCCAGGTGACTAGGGGTCCCCAAACCCATAGTCAACCATCTCCCCAAAAAAAATTACCCCTACCTATCCCCTCATCCTAAAATGAGGGGGGACCCTTGTCTAAATACCTGTTAAAAAAAAAATAGACTTACCATTTGATGTCTTCTTTCTTCTAAAATCTTATTTTTTCAGCCCCCAAAAAGGCCAAATAAAAATCCATAATAACCAATGCACATTTAAAAAAAAATAAAAAAAAAAATTTTCACCCATGGAGGGCTCAGCGCAGACTGAGCTCTGCAGGACGGGGCAAGGCTTATATAGCCTTTCCCCGCCCTGCAATTAGGCTCAGAGAACTCTGATTGGTGGGTTTAAGCCATCCAATCAGAGTGCTTAGACAGGTAAATGAAGAGACTGACAGGTAAGTCTCTACATTCACCTGTCACAGCACTCTGATTGGTTGGCTTGAAATCCACCAATCAGAGTGCTCTGTGTCATTTTACACAGCGTGAGAAAGTTCTTTGGAAATTATGGCTTTGTTAGACATTTAGCTGCCCTCCCCAAGATGGCCGTGTTCTATTTTCAGTATATTTCACACTCCCCTTCCCTCCTGCTCCCCTGTCCCCATGCGGCATTGCGGCTCACTTCCGGTATGCGGAAGTGCCCATAATCACGTGGTTAACTACAAACGCTTATTTTTATATCTTCCCACCCTCGTTTTTAATATCAATTCATTTATAACATGTCAGGTTACCTATAAGTATTCTCTTATACAGTTATTTATGTGTTTTACAATTGCTTACCTAATTTTAATTCTGATTGGCTGGACCATTTTTGGCGCCAAAATTCCAATCACTTGTGTTCCTATATAACACTAATATGCCAGGTATTGTTTGTTATTCCATTTGAAAAAGTCTTTTGACGAAACGCGTTATGGAAATTTTATATTGTGTATTTTTGTATTAAAAGTATATTTGGTAATTTGATTGTGCCAGTTATCTTTTTTACCTATACTTTTTTATTTGTATCTTTACCCTGGCTTATTATTATCTTATTTATTAATTTTTATCCATTCTGGTTTTATAATATTTGGAAGCTTCTTACATTCCAAGAAATCCTAGTTAGGGATTAATCCACTTATGCTAATACCTCAGAGCAGTCCGCCTGCTCTTTACTTTTTTTTGTACTTTTGTACATTTTTATTTAATTTATACCAACATTACTATACAGTGAGCACTATTGGCTGTTTCTTCTTTCCTGAGAATCGGACACCACTGACGGAGAGGTACCCACCATATATCCTATAAGCGGGGATTATACCACTGTACGCGCTTTACCCTAGAGCTGGATATAAGCTCTTGTAAATGTGAGTTCTCTACCATTGTTTTTTTTATCACGTCAATATCTGAGCTATACATATTGCACTATTGGTTGTCCCTTTCTTTTATCTTCTATATAAGTGGAACCACTATATCTGAAGATCTTACCACAGTACCAGCCTCCTAAAAAGACTACCCGTAAGGATATACAAATGTAGAGACTTACCTGTCAGTCTCTTCATTTACCTGTCAGAGCACTCTGATTGGATGGCTTAAACCCACCAATCAGAGTGCTCTGAGCCTAATTGCCGAGCGGGGCAAGGCTTTATAAACCTTCCCCCGCCCTGCAGAGTTCAGTCTGCATGGAGCCCTCCATGGGTGCATCGGTTATTATGGATTTTTATTTGGCCTTTTTTGGGGCTGAAAAAATAAGATTTTAGACGAAAGAAGACATCAAATGGTAAGTCTATTTTTTTTAACAGGTATTTAGACAAGGGTCCCCCCTCATTATTTTTAGGATGAGGGGGATAGGTAGGGGTAATTTTTTTTGGGGGGAGGGGAGTGACTAGGGGTTTGGGGACCCTTAGTCACCTGGGGGGAATTTTTATTTCTGGCCCCCCAACCACCACTCAGGGGTGGGGGCCAGGGGGAGGACAATAGGTCCCCCCCAATTTTTATTTATGGCCCTCATCCACCGCTCAGGGGTGGGGGCCGGAGGACATTAGGTCCCCCCCAATTTTTATTTATGGCCCCCACCCACCACTCAGGGGTGGGGGCCGGGGGGAGGACAATAGGTCCCCCCTTATTGTTATTTAGGGCCCCCACCTGCCGCACAGGGGTGGGGGCAAGGGGTGTGGACAGTAGGACCCCCTCCTTATTGTTATTTAGGGCCCCCACCCAATGCTCGGGGTGGGCGCCGGGGGAGGGACAATAGGTCCCCCCTTTAGTCGCGGGTGGGTGCTCAGGAGGGGGGAATTTTTTATTTATTTTTTAACAGTGAGCAGCCACAGGCAACACTATATACTAAATGCATTTGATAGGATGTACTTTTACGAAATGTAGTTCACTTGCTTACATTTTTAAGTACTTGTATGTACGTAGTGGAGAATCGTGATGCAGCATAGTAACAGAGAACTATCCCACTTACCCCCCAAATAATGACAGAGAATGTAGTATGGATGAAACAGGCCACAGCATTTATTATAATATATGATAAATACTATATAACACATACAAATTTTATTTTAATCTTCATCTTTACTTGATATAAACCAAATGTCTGACATAAATAATAAAATAAGTTAACATATAATGTCATACAGTATAACCCAACTGAATTTGCCAATATACTGACCATGAGCCTATGCATCACTTCTTCCCACCATAAATTTATTTTTTATCCCAATGGTTACCACCAGCAACCTTTTCCTCGCTCGGTGGGCATGCCCAAACAGGTAACCTAATTGTAACCCTTTAGAGCAGGGGAGGTTGAGCCCTGAAACTTGACCACCTCATTCCACAATTTGACATAACCGCCTCAAACTTAATTGGCAAGGACATAACCCCGGCTAGCTGCGACTAAGTATACCAATAGGGCGGGAAGCTGTTTGCTGGCCTGAACCCCAAGTGGCACTGAGGTAAGACCACACCCACCAAACTCGCACACCACATAATCCCACCCAAACATTTAAACACAACCAATCACGCGCATCCTTCCCACACTCATACATGTGCCCTTTTCCGGTTAGCTGTACTATCTTCCCAGGTCCTATTTGCTCACAGATAGTTCTAGCAGCCAGTGGCCAAATACTTAAATAACATTTGGCAGTGCGAGGGTTAATTATGTAACACTAGCCAGTATTTGCTAGCCAGCTATCCCTCACATTAAGCCCCCCATTAGCCCCCAAACACTACTCATAGGTGAGGAAGGAGGAACACTATGTCACTCCCAGAATTTTATTAATTAGATCCCTCATCAGCCACTAATGGGTGGGGACATTATGTCATTTTTGTTATACATTTGGATAGTGGCTGGGGGATACTATGTTATCTATGTTATATAAATGGATATCCCCCTTTCACTAACCATGGTTGGGGGCATTCGCATATTCCCCACTATTTTCTTTCTTTTTTTTCAGCCCCACTAATTGCAGGGTAGGGGATGGATGGCATGGGGAAGCTATGCCTTCCCTGTAACTTTACAGGCTCCATCCCATGGGGTAAGGTCTTTCAAGTCACTGGGTATTTGCAAAAGTTGCCCAGTTGCTGAAATAATATGCAGGTGGAAGCATATGGAGTTTTCTTACCTCCCTTACAATAATATGGGGATCTTATTGACCTCAATATGATTTTTTTAAACATAGGTAGACAGAGTGATAAACCGCGCCTTATAAAGTGAATATACAGTGCTGATAGTGCAAATGACAAAAGTATATATACTTATGTATCTGATGACATCTATGACTTCAAAGTATCTTGAAAAAAACAGAAAAGATATACACAAATAGTGCAATATGTAGTAGCAATATTTAATGTTTGGTAAAGTGTATAAAGTCCGCACTCACAATTAATTGAGCTACTGAGAGCTCTGCTG